AGAGAGAGAGAGAGAGAGAGAGAGAGAGAGAGAGAAGAGAGAGAGAGGATAAAGATAGATAATAAATAAGATTTTAAAGCTTTCTCTTCTTTTTGAATCAATGGCTATTTTACCATTCTCTTCCCAGGTTTGAAACTGGGAAACACCTGCTCATTTCTTACCTAGGGAATGTTTTAACCTGAGATTTGCTGGTTCCCAACTCACCATCTTCATGCCTTGCTTCTAAACATTAGAGCTCTGTTTATGACTTTCCTCATACAAACTTGCATGAATATTAAACTCTGTTTTGGTGAGGGTTCCTGCTTTAGATTCTGTTTACAAGAAGGGGGTCAGTTGCACCCGAGTATGAAATCTACTCTTTCGTAGTGTTGGTTGAGGAACATCTATCTAAGTTGATGCATTTCCAAATATGCCACCTTATTTTCAGGAAGAAAAGCAAGATTTTAAATCATGGCATTTGCAGAAATATGATTTCCTACAATATTCCTTTTCATGGAGAAAGAAGGAATCGGATTTAATCCCGATCCACAATTTTTATTTCAACATTACAGAAACACATTTGTAATAAACATAATGTGGCCTCTAGGTGGCAGCAGCTTAATATGAATGTTAGGATTCCCAAAATGGGAGAAAACAAAACTGTTTTCCTTTATGAAGTTCTGACTTCATTTATTTATTTATTTTATTTATTTATTTGATTTGCCAATTGTTTACAAGATAATAAGTATAAATGTATACATAGTTGTGAATACATGAAATGGTTACATATAAGAAAAATAAAAGAATAAGAGAAACAATAGGACAGGGACGGTAGGCACGTTGGTGCGCTTATGCACGCCCCCTACAGACCTCTTAGGAAAGGGGTGAGGTCAATAGTAGACAGTCTAAGGTTAAAGTTTTTGGGGTTTGGGGAAGAAACTACAGAGTCGGGTAGAGTATTCCAGACATTGACCACTCTATTGCTGAAGTCGTATTTCCTGCAATCAAGTTTGGTGCGGTTTACTTTGAGTTTGTATCTATTGTGTGCTCTTGTGTTGTTATGGTTGAAGCTGAAGTATTCATTGACAGGTAGGACATTGCAATGTATGATTTTGTATACCATGCTTAAGTCAGACCGAAGACGGCGTAATTCAAGGTTTTCTAGTTCTAGAATTTCAAGTCTGGTGGCATAAGGTATTCTACAGCGAGTAGAGGAGTGGAGAACTCTTCTTGTGAAATATTTCTGGACTTTCTCAATTGTGCTAATATCAGATACGTAGTGTGGGTTCCAGACTGATGAACTGTATTCGAGTATTGGTCTAGCAAATGTTTTGTATGCTCTGGTTAGTAGTGTGATATTGCCAGAGAAAAAGCTACGTAGGATTAGGTTAACAACTCTTAATGCCTTTTTGGCTATGTAGTTGCAGTGTGCTCTAGCACTTAGATCATTAGAGGTGAGTATTCCAAGGTCCTTTACAGAGCTTGGGTCATCAACAAGATCTTGACTATTCAGCTTGTATTTTATTTTCTGATTTTTTTTGCCAATATGTAAGACAGAGCATTTATTTGTTGAGATTTGAAGTTGCCATTTGTTTGACCATTCGGATACATAGTCAAGATCTTTTTGTAGGGTAGCATTTTACAGTATTCTTCCCCTACCACGCCCTCAGAACCAGTAGTAAAAAAATTTGAATTCCACCACTGTACTAAACAATGTAGCATGCTCATCAAAGGTGCTATATAACTGCTCATGCTTCTATCTTCTGGACCAGATGCAGTGTCTGATTGGTCTTCCATGACTTCCCCCTATAGAGTTCATTGCAGTAGTCCATGCATGGGGCAACGAAGACATTAATGACTGTGAGAAAGGATTCTCAGTCCCTGAAGGAGTATAATTGTATCAGCTGAAACTGGCAAAAGGCCCTCATGACTATAGTTGCCACCTGTTCTTTTGAGAGGAACTCTGAGTCCAGGAAGTCCTACTAAATATATAACAGTCCTGGCCTAGGAAATATAACTCTAGAACTACAGCTAGGGTTCTTACAGACCTTCCAGGGGGGTATTTAAGTCTCAGCAGTCACCCCTCCCCTCCACATGACTGCACTTTAGGGCACTCAGCAGCTGGGCTGCATTTATGACCTTTTGCGGCACCCTGTGGTCATGTAACCAATTTTACAATGTTTTTTATTTTTTTTGGCAAAACTGTACCCACAGTGAATTATTGATTCATTTAACGATTGCAGCATTTGCTTTACATCGATTGCATTTTTAAAAGAGGCCACACAAAATCAACCATGAAATCAGATTTGTTCCTTCTCACCTTCATCTTCAAGAGCTGTGTTGCTGCGTTGGTTTCAAATGCATTACTGCAGACTACTCCTGCTGACTGCTGGCAGTTTGGCAGTTCAATACTCACCACCTCAAGGTTGACTCAGTCTTCCATCCTTCCAAGGTCAGTAAAATGAAAACCCAGATTGTTGGAGGAAATATACCGACTCTGTAAACTGCTTAGAGAGGGCTGTAAAGTATAGTGAAGTGGTATATAAGTCTAAGTGCTATTGCTATCTTGCAACTCCTTTCCTGCTATTCTCTTCTGAAGATTGGCGGGCTCATTCAGAGTAGATGATAATGATGTGAGAGGTTACAAAAATGATAGAAGAAGACTTACTTTGTGAGTAAAAATTATTCCTGGCCATCAAACTATACCACTGGATTCTGCCCCAAGTCTTTATCCGTTGTGTGACATCACTGTCATTGTTCTGTTTGTGGAATGTTGACATAGCTCAATAGAAGCTTCCATTCCATGGACTGGAACAATAAGCTCTGTTGCCTCTGTCTTATGTTTTCTCCCAACCCACTCTACTCAGACGGCAAACTTCTCTTTTACAAATTTAATTGTTGCATAGAAGGACATTTGTGCCCACAATACTGAATATAAGCATTTGGATTAATGATTGATGCATTGACCATTTTTACCAGCAAAGGTAAATGCTATTGTTGTATTACACCAAACAATATTAATAAAATAAATCTTTTTAAAAAATAAATAATTGGAAACTGAAACCATCAGTCTCTTGATGATACCATACTTTTTAAAAAATAGTGATAAGGCACAATTGAGTTAATGGTATAAAGCACGATTGTCTTTGCTTGCTGCAATCAGTGTTTTTATTGTTTGTTAGACAGAGGTAAGAAATTGAACATCAAGAAAATTACTTAAGAATTGGCTACAGTGTCTAATGGAATCATAAGTGGCTGAAGGATCAACCATTTGGGAGAAAAGTAAGTAGTATTTAAAATATAAAAAGGGTCAGGGTTTAAAAAGGAAGAAAAAAAAGTCTGCAACTAGGAATCTACTGTACCATATCAACAAATTGTCTGTAAGGCAAGGGATAAAAATGAAGGCTTAGAAGAAAAGCTTCAGAAAAAATAAAGTGTTGCATCCTGGCCTTCCATTTTGCCTGTGAGAAACAAAAATAATGTGAACAGAATTATGACTATATGAATAATAGAACACCAGAGGTTTAATTGAGTATAAATTCTGCCACAGTTAGATGAATTATATCAACAGGAAAATTAAATTCTAAATGCACTGAATCAGCCCAAGAAATCTGGCACACATAAAGAAACACACAGAGGCATCTACTAAAGCGTATCACTTTTGAAGCCTCTTAAAGTCATTGTATTCCCCCAAAACATGCCTAAGATTTGGGTGCTGTCTTCCCAGTGTTTTTTACTGTTGTTTTTGGTTTCATTTTAGTAGTTTAATCATATGAAATATCCAATGCAAATGTATATGAGGCTTATGGCGGAAGAACAAAGATGCATTTGAACTTATAAGATTAGACTAGTACATTTGGACAAGTGGGATAAATAAAGAGTATTTCAGTTTGGTTTAGTCACTAGGAAAAGTTGTAACCTGGTTGGTGCAATTGGGAAATTTTGTCTTGGATCTGTTTTTGTTTAGTGCACTATGTTTTTTTAGGTAGGCACAGAAGGAAGACACAGCTGCACCATGAATTTAAATAGATTTCCCCCAGATTAGATTCCATAATAATGACATGCTACATCATGGTGCAAAGTATGCTTTGTGAATGATAGGGAAGAAACACATGTTGGAGAGATAATGGAAGTGCGTGCTTAGGCATCAACTCCAAATTCAGCTCAGCCATCACATCTTTTGTCCACGAACAAAATCTGTCCCCCCTTATCTCAAAACTACACAACACATGTGCCTTCTTGTTGTATTTTCAGGTAAAAAAAAAACATTCTCACATCTGGCTGCCATTTCTCATCTTCCTTGCTAGCCCCTGTAGTGGATGGATGGACATCATGATGGACTATTATAAAGTTTTGGACATTTCCCAAAGTGCCTCCATGAATGATATTAAACGAGCGTAAGATAAGTCCTTGAAATCATCTTTTTCCTCATACAATCCCCGCTATCCAAACATGACATTTCTTGCTTCCTTGTGAATTTGGCTCACAGGACCATATAACAGTAACTGGTTCCTTTTTGAAGTTTTGTTCTCGTTAGTTGTCATTTATGTCTATGGCAATGATGGAAAAAAGCACATTACTGTGATAGGATTCCTCCATGGATAATTTAATCAGAAATCTGATCATAGTCTCGTCCCTATTATTAGGAATTACTCTCTCTCATGTGAATAATGAGAAGCTGTCTGGAATAATGATATTTAAAAAAAGATTATTTGCTTCCAATCAGAGGTGGTATTCAGCAGGTTCTGACCAGTTCCGGAGAACCGGTAGTGGAAATTTTGAGTAGTTTGGAGAACTGGCAAATACCACTTCTGACTGGAGATTTTACAGTATCTTCCCTTGCCATGCCCACCAAGCCACACCCACAGAATCAGTAGTAAAAAAAATTTGAATCCCATCACTGCTTCCAATATATGTGGATGTTTGCATAGAGGGCTGAATCAGTAAAAACCTATGTATTGCATTGTCTGCCTTAGAAAGACAATATCCATTCTGGCAATTTTTGGCATGGATTTTTTAAAAAACAGGAGAAAAATCACTACTTAGATTTACTGTCATCTAGTATTCATAGCTATTGTATGCTTCATCTCCTGATTTATGTAATTCTTAATGCAAATAGCTTGATTTTTTTTTTAAAAAATGCCATTTCACCATTTCCCAAACTTTTATATGTATATTTATTTGATACAAGCTTTTCAATGCACATTTTCTCAATATGCATTCTTTTTCTATTCTTGCGCTACTTGTGCCATGACAAAATTAAGTGGAAATATTCACATTTGCTCCCAACATAATTTATGGTGGAATTCTTGTATATCCTAGCTGGTTGATCGCAAACATTGTTGCAGCTCTATTATGCATTTATTTGTTTGGTAATTAACACTTGTTATACTTATGTGAAACTATGCAGGTACCGGAGTAAGGTGCTCAGATGGCATCCAGATAAGAATCCAGAGAACAGAAAAGAAGCCGAGCAGAAATTCAAGGAGATTGTTGAAGCTTACAAAGTCCTTTCAGATAGTAAGAACCCTTGTTTCTTTCTTGTGCCCTTCTCTTTTTGGGTCTTTGAAGAGATTCAATAGCTCACTCTCATTTATTTTTGATCAAGTCATCCAAATACAAAACATCTAGGGCAGTGGTGCGTTTCAAAATTTTTTACCACCAGTTCGGTGGGCATGGCTTGGTCGGCATGCTTTGCGCGTACGCACACACTTTGCATGCGCGTGCCAAATGCACACTTTGTGCAGGCACAGAGACATTTTTTTTTAAACAAGTTTTATTAATTTTCAAAACACACAAATCATCATTATCCATTACATATTTAAACCTTTTTCTATTATAAATTTAACAAGTCAGATGAACTATAATTCTGTTTTAAACCATTTCCATATAAACATACAAAAACCCCTTATCCATTTTCTCTTTATTTCTCTTTACTCTTATTTCATTTTATTATTATTATTTCATCTATTTCTTTCTGACTTAGTTACCATTATTCTCATTCTATATTTCTGCAAGGTTTCATTAATTCTCCCCTCCCCCCCAAAAAAACATATATACACAACACACAAAACATAAAAAAAATCTTTTTGGAAAGTAACTTGGACCCAGGTATCTCTTTCTTCATGGACTTCCACTGTATTCATGCTCATATTACATATCATTACTTATTTTATTTACCATTCTAAGTCTTCTATATTAACTTCTCCCCATATTTCACTCTTTTTAATTCTATCTTAATTAATCATCTTAATTTGAGTCATTATATTTGTATCTTTTGTCCATTCTTTATTATACCTTTGTCTCATTCCTTATAAAAAAAAAAGAAATTTCTCCTGAAATCACTAATCAGAGTATGATGCCTTTCTATCTCCCCACTAAATTAATCAAGTTAATCTTTAAAATAACACCCAATACCCAATCCGATTTTGCTTGGTACATTCTAACGGAATAATACATCCAGAATAATTAAATACATAGTTAAACAATAAATCTAAATATTAAAAACAAATACTATAATAAAATTTTTATAATAACATCAATACCATAATCTTGTTAAACTCTTTAATTAAAGCTCAATATTCTAAATCTCCCCTCATATTATTAAATTTTAAAACCAATCATTATTAACATTTCAGCATTTTAATCTCTTATCAACTCTTAAGCCATTTAAGTTTTCTATTTCTAATACAATACTACAATATCATCTTATGTACCTTGCAAAATCTCTCTGCAGAAATTATACTTATCCTTTATCCCTAAAAAAGATTCCTTTTTTCCCATTTAATTTCAAAACTTTGTAGCTTTTCTCCACCTTTTCTCTTCTTTCTTCTCCCAACAAACCTTTCTACCCCCCCCTTCTTCTAGCCTCTGCCTTACTGGCTTCCCTTCTCTGTCGTATTCCTCTTCCCTTTTGTTTACCATCATTATATTGATTTTGCACCTTATTTTTCCCTTTCTTAAATGTTTTTTTAAATCTTAAGTCCTTTATTTCTCTTCCTTTCCCTCTTCCTTCCCTCTTGGTCGAGTTCTGAGATTTATTAAAGATGGCTTCCTCTCCTTCTTCTTCTTCTGCTGTCTTCATCTGTTGCAATGTTTGTTGATAGTTAGTGAGCGCCATTTCCAAAAAAAGGCAGGCTTCTTTCAAACCAGCTTTACCATTTTTTTTGCTTGCTCATAGTCCCTTCTTAGTTCCTCAATAGAAGGAGCCATTATAAATCTTTTCTTTTCTTTTCTTTTCTCTTACAACAACCAAAATATTCCAAAGGAAAAATAAAACAATCCCAAAGTTATCAATCAGTCCAAACCAAGACAGAGTTCCCACTCTCTCCTCCTAGGGTAGTATCAATCAGAAAAAAAGAAAGTCCAAATCTATTTCTTAAAATCTTATTGCAATATATTTTAGTCTTTCAATCCTTAAGGCATCTCCTCCAACAAAGTCTTAGCATACAAATATTTTTTTTTTAGTCCTCTCTTTTCCCACTCATCGCTTAGAGCCAGTTTTTACCTAAAAAAAAAAAAAAGGTTTCTTAATATTCACTTTTTATTCCGTAGAAAAAGAGGGTAAGCTATCCTTTCAGCACCATCAAACTGCCGCTTTTTTTCTCTTCTCGAAGGTATCATTCAGAAAGTCATACTTTTCAGGAATTTTGTTAAATATGTCTTAGAGTCCTAGGAACCAAGAAAAACTTTCTCCAAGCACTTTCTCCACTTCCTCCTGCGCATTCTTACCCGGCTGCCAGCTTCTTTGTGGCGGCCATTACGGACCGCCACTGCACCGTCCTGGGAAAAGGGGGTTCTGCCGGCCGGGGAGGGGGTCTGCAGCACCCCCAAACCCCTCTCTGGATCCCCCCTACCTTCAGCTGCCCCTGCAGGGCAGCCTAGCTCCGTATCCGTCCGGATCGGAGCCCCAAAAACGGCTAGCGCGGCAGGGATCGCGCAGCTTCGCAAATCCCTGCCGCTCGCGAAGCCGACAAACCGGAAGTCTCTCGCACAGAGACATTTTGACTCACTTCCTGCAATCCTGCACTCTCCCTGTCTCTTCAGCAGCTGCCGCGCGGCAATCTCCTGTGCCACGCAAAGCAGCTGCGCTTCAAAAGCAGGACATAAATATTATCATGGGGGCCCGGGCAGAGGGTGGGCCCAACAGGAGAGCGTTGGAGAAAACCGGTTTGGCCTCCGCTGCTCATTGGCGCTACCGGCTCGGCAGAACCGGGCCGAACCGGTAGAATACCACCACTGATCCTAGGGCAGGGGTAGGGAAACTTGGCTCTTTTATCACGTATGAACTTCAATTCCTAGAATTCCTGAGTGAGCCACAAAAGGTGACCCATCCCTGGCCTACTGGTTTTTCAGTTGTGGGGGAAATCAATGTTTGATTTGAATGGGACTGTTTAATATACACATGTAGGACATATAAAGAATATATATAAATTGATTTCCCCCACAACCGAAAAACCACTAGGCCAGGGATGGGTCACCTTTTATGGCTCACTCAGGAATTCTGGGAGTTGAAGTCCGTAAGTGATAAAAGAGCCAAGTTTCCCTACCCCTGTCCTAGGGCATATCATGTTTCTCAGAAAATAAGACTAGGCCTTATTATTTTTTTTAGACCCCCCCCCCAAATGGCTAAGCTGTATTTTTGAGGGGTGCCTTAATTTTCCCCCCACATGCACCCTTGTCTCTCCACCAGGTTGCTTCTTTAGTGGCCATGAGGAGTGCCCCACGCGCACCCTTGCTTGCCTAAGTATAGCCTGCCGTCGTCCACTCTGAAAAGCCTGGAAAGCCTGGCCACCATGCTTCTTTTGAACCCTGCTTTCCCTGCCACAATTGTCGCTCACCCAAAGCCCCACCACCACCTCGCCCCCCACTTTCTTTCTCATACACGAGAAAAGCAAGCAAGAAAAAGATAGGGAGAATGGGGGAGGCACTTTCGAATACATCCAGGACTTTTCGCGTTGTCATGATCAGCCCCTGCCATGAATGTGTGTGTGTGTGTGTGTGTGTGTGTGTGGAGGGGGGGTGTTTCTGGCAGAGATTAGGGAAAAGAGGGGGTGGGTTGGAAGAGATTTTCCCCATGAGAATGTGGAACGCTGTCAGCCTTCAAGATTTTCTCCCTTTGCTTTGCATCTTTCGGCTGTCATAAGTAACGGGGGGAGGAGGGGGGAATGGTTATGGGAAGTGAGCTGGAGGTGTTACAAACTAGTACTGTATAAACTGGGGGGGGGAGAGTACATTCTTGCTTAGGTTTCTATTTCTTGCTTAGCTTTCTTTTCTATGCGCAGCTGCAAACCTTTATCAAACTATGCCAAGGTCAACGGACAGAAGCCTCATCACCACCTGAAGATGTCCACATGATGATATTCACAACTTTTAATTGGAAGAACCATTTGAACTATTGGGGGTGGGAACATTGCCATCACTTTGTATATGTGATTTACGCGCCTATTTCCTCAGATTCAGAATTCTTTTGTTGCTACCACTTGACTTCCAGTAAAAGATATCTTTTCTCTAATTAAAAGAGTCTTAAGTATTTCTTTCTTGGATTTTGAATGGAGCACCAGCTGACATTATGCGCAATGCTTGTACGGTGTGATTTATCCAGGCTGCCCTCTCCTGTTATCTCTGTCCTTGGAGGAAAAACGGGGTGAGAAGAAATAGTAGCTCGCACAACATACTGAAAAGCTAACTGATTTGGGTTTGCAAAGACCGGGTGATTCCAATGGATCCTCCCGCCCCCCCAATCTCTTTCTCTAAAGAAAAGTGGCTCCAATGCTAAGAGCGAGGCAGAATGACAACGATTAATAAGAGACACTGCATTGGATGGAAGCCCCCCCCCCCGAGTCTGTGTGCATGTGTGTATATTCGGAGATTGGGAAAACTCTGGAAGCTGTGAGCAGAGATAACAGGAGAGGGCAGCCTGGATAAATCACACCCTACAAGTATTGTGTTCCCCATTCTCACAGGGAAAATCTCTTCCAATCCACCCCCTCTTTTTTTTAAATCTCTGCCAGAAACACCCCCCTACACAAACAAACAAACAAACAAACAAACACACACACACACACATCCATGGCAGGGGCTGACCATTACAACGTGAAAAGTCTTGGACGCGTTCAAAAGTGCCTCCCTCCCTTCTCCCTTTCTCTTTCTTGCTTGCTTTTCTTGTTTGTGAGAAAGAAAGCCGGGGGGAGGTGGAGGTGGCAGGGGCCTTTTGATGAGAGATGACCATGGCAGGGAAAGCAGGGATCAAAAGAAGTGGCATTACAGAGGCAAGGGAGTGCGATCTGATGGACAGGCGAGTCGCGTGGGATGAGTTGGGCAAATTCCCCCCCCTCCGCCCTTCCCCCCCCCATGCCTCCTCACCTCATGTTGTAAACGGCCGCGCATGCACTTAAATAGGCCCAAATTTTGGAGGCAGGCCTTAATTTAACTGCATGCACACAAAACAGTGCTGGGCCTTCATTTTGGGGTGGGCCGTATTGTTGGAGAAACATGGTAGGTGATGACTGACACTGGAATGAATTTAAATGAAAAGCAGAAATAAAAATAAAAATATATAACAACCTCCCCCAACATTACATTCATTACACCAATGAAGACTCAATGATCCAGACCAAAAGTGTCTAAATCATGACAACTGGACCACGATTGCAAGCCACTTGGGGGAGAAACCCCTGAAATTGGTATGGCAAGAGTTGGTGCAAGTCTGTAGAGATTCTCAGTCATCCAGGTCATGGTTGTCCCAAAGATGCTTTTTCAAGAGGCAAGTGGACTTTTTTTGTTTTTCCTTTCTTGTTTAGCTTCTCATCCAAGAAGCTTCTTCAGCTCTGACTGGATCCTTCCATTCCCCATCATACAGTCAGAGCTGAAGAAATTCTGAGAAGCAAAACATCTTCAAAGAAAAAACAAGAAAGTCTAGTTGTCTCCCTAAAAAAGCACCTTTAGGACAAGAGTTGGTACATTCCAACGACACTCTGACTCTCTGCCTAATTAATTTTGCTCTGACTGATGAAGTTGCAATGAAATGTCTCAAAATTAACAAAGTTTGGTCCCGTTGCCATGATTCAACCTTTAGACATTCCATACATTAGTTCTCCTCCCAATTACATATAGTAAAATGATGCAACTTTGATTTTCTCCAAATGCATATGAATACCTGACTTTCTGTTCATGTAATCAAGATGCTTCAAATACAAAAGATCTGTTTCTTCTGTTTATATTCTGCACATATTGTAGGCTTGTTGACCCATTCGGTCTCTCTTGGTTTTTCCTTTAACAGATTAAATAAGTGAGCTTCCATCGGTGGAATATAATGCTCTTGTTTCTTTCCTTCCCTTTGTAATTCTTTCTGTGACTTCCAAATTAGCTGTGGAGGCTTGGTTGGAGGTGGAATGAGGTGGGCAGTTCCCTCAGAACAATATTAAGTGCAGGCTGCACAGGGAAGATAAAATTATGCTACTCCATTCTGCCAATATTGGACATATGCAATTGAATTGTACTCTTACATGGTCTCTCTTTGTGTAGCTGTCTATCTAAAAACATGTATCTGCTATCACTGGTTTTATAAGCCCTCTTATATTATTTCTTTATAGTATCTCATTGTACAGTATACAGTGAGCTGCTATTTAGTGGCGGAAATCAGAAGCAATAATCTTGGAATTATTCAAAACTAGTGATATGGATTCAGCATTAAATTCCCATAGGATGATGTCTCTTTTATTCCAGAAGGTACTCGTAACCACCATGATGGAAGTAGCAAAGATACTTCCAAAGGAACAAGTGAGTAAACTAGAGGAGACATAAGGATTTTTAAACATGAAATCAATTATTTCATCAAGGGCTTGATATCTTTAATAATAATGAATATACACCATTGGCCTTCTTATACTCTATGATCTTTAATAAAGAAAATAGAGATTGGATGATTTAAAAGACTTTGGAGGGAACCAAAACCTGTTTTTTTCCTCCATTTAAATGTGAACTACTATGACGTATGAAACAGCAATAAGAAAAAAAAAGTGTACTGTAGCTAGGAATTTTGGAGGCTACCATCTGATAGATATCAGCTTAGAGCAAGGCCTGTTTTAGAGGCAGGGTTATCCAAATTATGGCTTCATATTTGAAATTGACAGATGAATTGACACTTTTCATTCAAAGCAGTAAAACAAATAGTTAAGATGTAATCCCAATTGTTGGTTTCCTCGATATTTGAGCTCAATAGTTTGTTTCCTCAATATTTGGACTCAAAGGTTACAAAAATCTAGTTGAATGGTATAACTGAGTTTTGCTTAGTTTATTTTTTTATCCAGGCAAGAATAGGCTGGAAGGTTCCCCCCCCCCCCACTGCTTTGCAAACATGATTATCAAAGACGAGCTATTCTGCACGAATGGGAAGAATCAATCTCTGAGCAAAGATCTCTACTGATTGCTTTTCTTAATATCCCCATTGATCATCCAACGGTTTGGGTGATATTATTTCTCATTAAAGTCATTTGCTTTACCCAGCACTCACTGCATACATACGTAATGGTCTCATTTTTTCTTATTTTCTCTTCTTAGAAAAAGCTGAGGATGAGAAACACTTATCAGTATTTGATCAGGATGGCATCAAAATATTCTTCACAAGACAGCGTTCCTCTTCCGGTAATATTATATGTAAACCCAATCTAGCCCCCCCTCCCCCAATTCACAATTAATTTGGAATAATCATCGTGATACTTCTTTCTGCAGTAAATTAGCCAGACCTTCTTTTTAATAGCCAAATTTGAAGGATTTTGACTGAAGTGGAAAATTTAGTTTAACAGAAAACAAAGCAGAAGTAAATGATGAAGACTGCATTTATCCAAAAAGAAAAATAAAATATTTCCCATCATGTGTGCCCATTTCATTGTTGGCTCACTGGTTTGATGAATTTGGCCTTTGGCATTTAATTCTTTATTAGCAAATTTATATCACCATACCATCTTAACTAAATAACACTGGATGGCTTATAAAACACTTAAATAAAAACACTGTGTCAAAGCTGTAAGGCAACATCAGATTAAAATAATTGAGGCTCTTCCTATAACTGTCTAATTACACAACAATAAAACATATATATGGACGCCACTAATCTCCTGTCCCCAGGAGGTCTTCAAGGCTTGTATGATGAGATACCATGGCAACAAAAATAAAAATGGAGGGAATTAGATTATTTTACTGGGCCACCAGAAGGAAAATAATTCTAGTCTTCATTTATTTAACAAAGGGAGAAAATAGACAAAACTAATGGAGAAATCTGCAGGACAGAGAATTTGTAAAGAAGTTTGGACCTTCTTTACATTTTGCAAACATTTATGTTTCTAATGCATTTAAAAATGATTCATCATACATATATGCCCCCTGTGTTTCAGATTTTTCTGTATCGTTCTTCAGTGCTCCTAAAAGATTCCACCACTTTTCTATCATGACTGCCATCATCAATGGCAAAAAGATCACAACCAAAAGGTGAGATGCAAAGTGGATGCCTTTCTATGACTCCTTCACTTGATACTTAGATCTCTCTGTACAGACATGTTAATGTCTTATTTGTGTCTGAAAAACTTCACACACCAATAGTCTAATACAAAAATTAGGACTGGTGGAGAATAGCAATAGCATTTAGACTTATATACTGCTTCACAGTGCTTTTAAAGCCATCTCTAAGCAGTTTATAGACTCAGCATATGGAAGGATGGAAGGCTGAGTCAACTTTGAGCCTGGTGAGAGTTGAACTGCCAAATTGCAGTCAGCTGGCAGTCAGCAGAAGTAGCCTGCAGTACTGTACTCTAACTACTGCGCCACTGTGGTTCATATAGAAGATCTGCATTTCTTTCTACTAGTTATCATTCACTTTGATAAAAGGAGAATTAAAAAAAAACCTTTCAAAGGAGAACAAAATTTTGGATAAATTTTTCTCCTTAGATATCAATGGTTTTAACTAACAACCTTGCCAAGAGAAGAATATGTGGGTGAAAGTATTGCCTTTTATTGTACAGTTACCTTTTCAGTTATTGATAACTCCATTGGTTTCCCATGCTTCAAGGAAAGCCTCAAGGGAGGACTTCATGGAGGCTCCCAAACTGGGCATTTTTCAGTTGTGATGCCACTGCTTCTTAGATAAATATGTAGAAATGTCAGCCCCATTTTTCCACTTGAAAGCTGGTTAAGAATTTGTGTCCAAAACTATTTTTCCCTGATATACAATAGTAGTCAAATAACAGATTTTGTCTTTTACACATTGCAAAATGTGAAAGGTGGTGCTCTATCGATAAGCACTTTTATTTTATTTTGTCATTTTAATAGTTATATTAATTCACTGTATATCTAGTTTTCTCTCTGTTCCTTGTAGAACGGTGGCAAAAAAGAAATTTTTGAAGTGTGGATTTTCAAATCTTTCGTGAAGAGAATTCTTGTATATAGTTAAATTTTATGAAAAATGAGAGGTAGCAATATCTCTATGTTGCTACAAAGATATATCAAGAGCTCACATTCTGAAGGATAAATTGATTCTTAAGTAAAGTCTTCTTTGAGTTGAATTCAATCTTTGTTGACATTTTGGATGCATTTTATATAACCCTTATATTCTCTGCTGGCTTCCCATCAAAGTATACTAACCAGGTCTGACCCTGGCTGTCTTCTCAAAATCAGCCAAGATCTGTTAGATCAGTGGTTCTTAGTAAACAGTAAATAACTCAAGCTGTCAAACTGCATAACAAACAAGACCTGTTAAGTTGCTTTGAAATCTAAACAAGAAATTACAAGTGCCTTTCCTAGAACCATTATATAAATAATGAAGTAATTGACCAATACCTCTCCTTTCAGGCATCTTGAGAATGAAAGCAAGTACTTGGAAGTTGAAGAAAATGGGAAGACGGTATCTATCCATGTTAATGGTAAATTTGAATGGATCAAATGGCACTTTCTTTTTTCCAGTGTGAAATATTGATTTTAATGTTCATGAGACTTCTTGAAGGCACCTGATTTTTCAAGAAAATACTTTGTGTGTCTTGATAAAAATTGTAACCCCCAAGACATTTCTTTCTCAAGGAGGGCAGAGAGGTAGGCAGGCAGGCAGGCAGATAACATACAAATGTCAGCAATCTCTTCCTACAGAATTCAAGATGAATTGGAGGGACTTAGCTTTCTTTTTTCTGAATTGTAGGTCTCAAGGGATCCAAACAGCCAATAACTAAAATAGGTGAACAGAATTCTTCTCAAAGAGAGTCAAATCCAAAGAGAAAAAAGAACTAATTTGCACTGGGTTTTATAAACTGAATGTGTTCTGTTGCAACATTATGCTGTATTTCCAATTTGTCTGCAACAACAGAAATCAAGAAAGAAGGTTAATCAAAGGCACTGTTTATAATAAAATAAACTGCTTTCTGCAATACAAGCAAAAGTAATTGGTTAAATATTACTATACTACTTTCAATTAGAGGCATTAATTTTTGTTATCAGTCCTACAGCTCTTTTAATGGTCTGACTGTTAGGTTTTGGTTTGGAGCATTGTACAAATGCAGTTACTGTGGCTTGTATACCATAAATTATAGCTTAGTAAATTGTGGAAATCTAGCAAATTGTAATTTATGAAATAAACTATGGTTAAATATAGTATAGCCTGTAATATTGCCAAACTAACCATTAAGATATTTCTTTTTCTTTTACTGAATTTTAGCTATATACATCCTTATTTCATCTATATGGAATAGATTCTAGAAGTTATAAAATGATTCAACATTGCTTTTGGGGGAAATTCTTTTCATGTGAATAGCATTACTTCCACTCTTGTATGTGTAGTTTGATTCAGCAACAGATATTAGTAGTTTACTGGGTATTTTGACAACCATTGACCAACCATTGGTTGAACAGCTGCTAGTTGTGTATGTAGCTGCTAGTTGCTATGTTCTTATAAATTTTGCTAAATTTTGATGATAGTATACCGGGGTTTTTGCTGCGTATGATTTATGCCAACTGTTAAAAATACAGGCTGTTATGTCTACATAGAAATAAGTTATGCTGATGGACAGTAAATTCTATTAAGTAGAAATTACTCTTTTAAGATATATAATTGTTACCTAAAGGATCCTGATTAGGAATATACATACTTGCTCCAGAGTCATGTGTGAAAGAAAAAAGAACACAATAGAACCAGATCAAGATATTTGGCTTGGTTGTCCAAAATACAAGACAACAATTCATTTGCTTACCACCTACAGATGCTAATTTGATTCCCCAGGAGAATAACTTCTCAACACTGAAGTTTGATAGCATCTTCCACAGCATCTGATCATTCCCTCCTTCTGGGGAAAAAGAGCCAATCATGTTGCACATACTATTAGTTCTTTGAATGCTAATATGTTCTGCAAGTAGTTTTCTGAGTAATCTTGGCTTGTCACTAACTGTTAGTCAAGGCTACCTTTCAAGTCTGTAGGGAGGATAAAAGACCAGGCATGTCACTTAGAGCTCCTCAAAGCAGGAAGAACAAATTATAAAACAAAATACAATCACAGTGGATTATTTTATGATTTTCAAATAACTTTTGCCTGATGTCTCCAACAAAAAGCCTAGATCAAGTAAGCTAGACATTAATTTTTTCTCTCAATCAGTGACTAGAAAGTTTAATAATTCTCCTATGCACAAATGCTGAGCCATGATGTAAGGATGAGTCTTAATCATATACCTATTTCTATGGTTGAGTAATGAATTCTGCTTCTTGCAGGGATTCCAGTTTATGACAGAGAATTTAATGGATCAGTAGGAAGTTTGGCTTCAGATTGCAGGTTGGACAAGGGACGCTATCGTCCAAACAGGCGGCGTTTCTGGACTTATGAAAGGCGGCAGTGGGCCGATGAATGGCGGCAGTGGGCAAGTAAATGGAGGGACTGGGCTGAAGAGTGCCGTGATTGGGCTGAAAGAAATAACAAGACAAAAAATCAGGATAATGCTGGGCATCACCAGGCAAATGCATCAGAACATCCAAAAGCTAGTCAAGAGCATCTCAAGTCAGACAAGAATTGTCCTAGGCCAGGAGGAAACCTTCATGGATTTCCCATGCCAGGGGAGGGGAAATGCGATTCAAAAGAAGGCCATAGCAAAACAAATAAAGGATCACCTCAGTCAGAAGAGGAACACTTCAAGCCAGATACAGGATACTTTGTTTTTCCAAAACCAGGTGAGAAAAATCCTCAGGTGGATGAAGGGCATCCTAAGTCAAGCAAGAGGCAACCCAAACCAGAGGAAGGGAACATTTTGAGAAACGTTGGTATTGTTAAGTCAGGGGATGGACCTGCAAATCAGGATGAGGGACATCATAGAACAAAATATGGAAAGCCAAGGTCAGAAGATGGTCAGGCCAGGCCGGGGAAAATGCATCTTGGATTACAGAAATCTGACCAGGAATCTCCCAGTCCTAAAAATTCAGATCCCAGGGGCAATGTCACTCCTAGGAAACACATTTCTGAATGCAACTCTCAGGCTGAGACAGGTGAACCCCACACTGAGAAACAGGAGCCACAGTCGGAAGGAAACAAGAGCCATGCTGTGAACCTTGAAAAGAAAGATCTAAAGGATGAAAAATTGGAAGTGGAAGTCCAGAAAGATGGGATTCCATTAGAGTCTGAATCAGAGAAGAGAATCAAACTGAATGTTCAAGAGATAAAGTATTCTCTTGATCCCAAACAGGCTCGTGAAGGACAAGGGTCTGGCTCTAGTGCCACAAGGTTGTACCTGAAAAGGAAAGAGCTCCAAATCCAGACAAGAAAACTGTATGCCAAAAGAAACAAGTCTCAAGTTAGGACCAAAATATCCTACAGCTTTAGGAGGAACAAAACTCAGGCAGGAAAACACAGGATCCCTGATGGGCATAATAGAAGAGAGTTGGAAGGGAAATTCTACTTTAATGAATGCATAGAGATGATTCCGGTTGGAAAGATGTCACCTGCAGGTAATAAGTATCTTCTCACAAGTAGAAAGAAAGGCCCTCTACCACCCCTCCAAAAAGGTGAAACTCCTTCCCAGGCAAAAAAGAGGCTGCCCAGAAGAAGGACATATCCCTCATTTGAAATTCAGAGTGAAAAGCTTCATTCTTCCTCTGAAGCCAAACCGCCTTTGAACACACAGGGCCAACAGCAAAGGAAGATGACAAAAGTGCCTTGGGTCAGTGGACACCTTCCAAGTATTCAGGGTCGGAAGTTTGGAACAAATCAGTTCCCAATTATGAATCGTTGACCATTTGATGGATGCAACCAAGCTAGCACCGAGCAAGGTTGATTTCTGTGGTTCACAAGCTGTGAACATCCAGATTTCTGCATTCCAACCAGGTGATGCAGAATACTACATTGTTGGGCTCCAACAGAAAGGAAAGTTCTAAGAGTTCATGGTCAAGTCAAGAAGGTATTTTTTTTCCCCAATAAAGGAAATTTAATGTAATTCTTATTGTTCTCTAACTGTTCTTTTTTTTTTATTGCCTTGAGGATGCCTTGTCAAATCATATCTTGACTAAAATTTAGCAGTGCTTCATAAGATAATGTTTTTCAGGCTGAATTTAGTTCCTAAGCTGTCAATTGCAATGTCCAGAATAACCAATACAATAAGATCAATGGAAGATCTCATTTCAAATGAGTTTGACGCATTGGACATATCATTGAGTTTTCTTGGCAATAACATGGAAGGTTCTTTTCTCCTTTCATCTTTCAAAAAACTGCTATTTCCTGATTATTTTCTACTCAAATACAAATATGGTCAAACCTTGCAATAAAAATAATAATGATCAGATAAGTTGATGCTGGTATTTGGCCAAACTGTCATTATCAGTAGTAAGATAAATGTGTTTGTAGTATATAAGAACAACAGTCTTTTCAATGATGATGCACAAAAGGCTTTTTGAGATGTCAGACAGTTAAATTTAATAGCTTTATTTGCCAAGTAATTCTCTGCTATGCAAATATCTCATGAATTTGTAGCAGCGTCTCTTATTTCTGCTTTTGTACTCTATACCACCATCACATGATTAAATAAAAACATTATAAATGAGATGCTGCAAACCAGTTTAAAAAAGCAGTGCTTGTCAGCAATTTTGCTTGCTATATATTATGCCTTGAACTTTTATGTGAAATTCACTGTTTCCTTTGGGGTTAGCAATATTATGCAAAATGCTAAAACAACAACAACAAGGAAGAAGGAGCAAAAGAAAAAAAGCTATAAGACAAGAGAAAAGGAAATATACATAAATCTGGTTTACACAAACACAATTTCTCTATACTTCTCCATATCTAACTATACCTTATCCATATTTCTACCATACACTGTTTCATACATTTTTATTCTTAAACTTCTCACTTCTTTATTTTTAAGGATTTCATTGAGTCCATCGAACTGTGACTTTCTTAGTCCTCCCCTTTCTCTCAGCCCATTTACTTTCATTTTATATATTTGTTCTGTAATTTGATTCTCCTACTTTCTCTCTATATGCCAAAAACTCCTCAAGTTTTGTTCAATCCCAATTCAATGAGCACCCATTCATTCTTGGTTCTGTTTCTTCTAGTTTTAACACTTACTGCATTCAGCTTACTTTATGTTTCTCCTGCCAAACAACTTTCACTTCCAGATAACAAAGAAGGCAAATGGTATAATAAAATATTGCTTACAAAATATATAAACTTGTATGTATAAATGACAAACACGTTATTGCCAACATATATAAACTTTTACTGAAATTTGAAATAGAAGAACAAAAGAATGTATGATTAAATGGACTAAAAAAGTTGGTTACAATATACGAATTGAACAAAGGGAAGATATGTGGTTGAAAGTATTGAAATTTACATTTATAACATTGTAGAGGCTTTTTATAAAATGATGTATCAATGACATATGTCTCTACTTTTAATTTTGATTCTATTACATTTATTTATTATTTATTGTTTTTTATTTATGCTTTTGAGTCCTTGACTCCCTCCAATTTTTTTAATAAAGATTTTTAGAAGTGGTTTGCCATTACCTGCTTCCTAGGGGTGATGTTGAATGTCCGGCCCATGGCCACTCAGATAGCTTTATGCATGAGACAGGGCTAGGACTCATTGTATCCCAGTTCTAGCCGGGTATCTTAATCAGTACACTAAACTGGTATAATTTAGTAGCAGGTGGAAATAAGAAAGGTGGGCAGAGAAGAAAGTTTGCAGAATGAATTAGATCAGATAGTAATAATTGAAATTTTTAGTTAGAATTATAATGGATTCAGAGGTATTTCTCAGGCTTAAATGTTATGCTGTCTGCTTTAGGAATCTCCCTGCATGAACAGGGTTAGTGTTGTGGTTAGCCGGCAGCAGGTGCAGACGGTGGAGGAGAGCAAGGACTTGGATGAGGGGCCAGGACCATCAGGAAGTGGACTGCTGCATTCAGGGATTGTGGGGGCTGGCAGCAGTGATGAGGAGGTTCCCGAGGAGCCTGTGCTAAGTGCGCATGAGCTCAGGATGATTCGTAGAAGAGAACAGCTGGAGCAGCACAGGCGACTCAGGAGTAAGGAAGCAACAAAATGGCCCCTCCCTCCAGGGAATATAAGCCTGGTTTCAAAAGGTTTTTGCTTTTGCAGAAGGCAAAAACACTCTAAGGACCCAGCATTGTGTATAGAGACTCTGGCTTATCTGAAGAATTCTATCAAGGCTTTTCTGGTTGGACTAATTGGCTGCAAGCCATCTTTTATCTGCAAATAAGTTTATTTGTAGATTAAAGCTGTGAAGGTTTGAGTTGCTGCGTTTGTTTGAGATTTTCTTGCTGGTAACAGGGTTGGATCAGAACAGTTGCACTGCATATTTATAAATAATTATTTATATTGAATATTTAAAAGTAAATACAATAGACATATATTGTATTGGACTACCATGTGCTTTATCTTTCACACACACAAAATCCTTGGAGAAAGAGGCAATTCCTGAAATTTCACACTGCTGAAGAAAACAGAATGAGCTTCACTTCACCTCTTACAGTGGAGGTTAACTGTCCTTATCCAAGTGCTACTGTAGGAGGAGGAGAGAGGAAAGTGGAGAAAAAAAGAATCTTAAAAGAATACCAAGATCCTAGCACTAGTCAATGTCATGAAACTTTCACAGCAATTTTGAGACATTTTTGAGGAATATACTAATATTCCACTTCACAGTATAGGCATTTCATGATATAAGAATTATTTCAGAATAGACATATCATCTACCTGACATCATTATTGAGTAAGTAATTTTATTTGTAGTTTATCTCCTTAATTTTAAGCAAATTCCAAGGTTGTTCCTCTTGCATTGTATTATGCTACATTGAATGTGAAAAGCAGATTTTGGGGCTGTTATTTCTAATTTCTTTTAATATCTTATGTAGTTTACAGGTAGCTTATATTTACTGATTTGTTTATTCATTCAACAGTTATTAAGACATCACTCTTCAAAGGCCTTAATACAGTATAATAATCAATATGTCTTATCTGGCTTAGTAAGTGGATGGTTGAGCAGGGAATTATTAAATGGACAAAACTCACATTTCAGATGAAGCTGTACATTTGCTTTTATCTGTCACAAATTGGTTAAGGATAATTTATTTGTTTTTTGTGGGTTTCTTTCCCCCCCACCCCTTCCAGCATGGAAAGCATAAGAAACTTTCCATGCTGTTCTTCTGATATTATTACATTGTATTATATAGCGTAAATAAATATTAATGCAGGTATAATATTAAAACTTTATTACGTAGAGTAAATAACTGTTTAAATGTTGAGTAAATAAGTTTTAGTATAGATGCTTTTAGATATTTTTAGAGTTCTCTTTGGGATGTGGTGGCTCAGTGGCTAAGATGCTGAGCTTGTCAATCAGAAAGGTAGGCAGTTTGGCGGTTCGAATCCATAGCACCATGTAACAAAGTGAGCTCCTGCTACTTATCAAAAGTTCTGCCAACCTAGCAGTTCAAAAGCATGTAAAAATGCAAGTAGAAAAATTGGGATCATTTTGGTGGTAAGGTAACAGCGTCCTGTGCGCCTTCGGCATTTAGTCATGCCGGTCACATGACCATGGAGAAGTCTTTGGACAGCACTGGCTCTTCAGCTTTGTAATGGAGATGAGCACTGCCCCCTAGAGCCGTAAACAACAGTTGCTCCTCATGAGGCATCCACAAGATGGAGGATTTAGAGCTCTGAATACGAGGACATTGTTGTCTTGGCCAAACTGCAGTTGGGGCCTTTAAGGTCATTGGACATGCATATTTTGAAAGTAGTTATAGTTTCAAAAATTGTTTGTTTTCAGCTACAGGAATCTTTGGATCGACATAGCTTTTGGAGAATTTTCTTTAATCCTTAGTGAACTGGATAATTTTTTCATATTCTCCATTTTGTCTAGCAACGTCATCAAAAAGGGTCTGATCATTCAACCTAATATAGCACAATCAATACAGGCTGTGTAAAGGATAACACTGCCATACATAAAAAAACATCTCAGAAACCACTAACAGACTATTACAATTACATGGCATCACTATAGCCTACAAACCAATTAAAACCCTCCAAAACATCCTAAGTAAACTAAAAGACTCAGCAGCTCCCCAAACCCCCCCCAAAAAAACAAACAGGAGTCATCTATAACATGCAGTGTAAAACTGCAACAGCCATTGTGTAGGACAAAGAGGCAGAAGACCAGCAGAATGCATCTATGAATGCCAACCAGCAGTCAGAAGACATGATGAAAACTAATTTCACAACACATGGATGGACTCAACCATACTTTCAATTGGGATACTCTGACCATCCTAGATCAAGCCAAGTCCAAAAATGTTAAAGAATTCCTGGACACCTGGAACTCTGACAAATTGTATCAACAGGCATAAAACAACTTCCATATATTATCCAAAAGGGATAATTACAAGCCAAAAGAACAAAATATCAGAACACATCTTACCAGCAATCAACACCTAGATGAGCAGAGATTAATACCACAATTAACATTAGACTAACAATCAACAAGCAAATGATACCCCAATCAAGGAAGCAACAAACAAGCTAACAGTAAATAGCCCAACCAAAGAATCTCAAAACAGGGGAGGGCAAGCCATTAGAATATAAAATGAGAGCAAATTTCACTTGCTTCTAGCACTGATAATGTTACTTAGGTTAGGTAATGAAACGTCTGTAAGAAAGCAATCAAGTTCAGGCAGCAGCAATTCTGTAATAATACCTAAATGTATTTAGCAACAAATTAAATTAA